TCACTTGCCGTCACACGAGCATTGTTGACATGTTACCTGTAATCTGATTTTTTCATTAGAACACATGTTGTCCATGATGCAACACTATTGTCCCAGCCATTGGCATGTCTCCTCGCATACCACTCGCACTGTTAATGATCTGATTGCTTCAAGTTTGTTGCAACAACGCACAGCGCAGCAGCAAGCTTAACGTGCCGTTACCTGACTTTTGCCTTATTCTACCATCGTGAAGTATTATAGACTTCATTACTTGTGATGGAATAATGATTCCAGAAAATTTTCATTTAATTCGCAATATCGTCTTGCAGGGTTTACCACCCGTGTGCTTATGCAGTGTGCTACAACTATTTATCACCTTATTTGCGAAGAAGCTGAAGACTGAAGAAAGATCTCACACCTTTTGTTGACATGACAGAATTACAACTATTTAAGGGAAAGAGAGAGAGAGAAAAAAAGAAATCTTTCCCAATATAATTTTGCCTGTGAACAATAAACTGTATTTCATGCAGTGTTATAATTTTATTTTAAAAAGTTGTATAAGCGGCTACTTTCTGGGTTAATACAGGTGTACATTCGGATTTTATCAACTCTAGACAATTATCACCAAAATGGCGGGTTTTAAAGACCCGGTTCCTCTAACTTCACAAAGTTCATGTTAAATTTACTCAGATCTGCTATTTTGCGTAATTTTCCACACCCACCTGGATGAAAACAGAAACGAGCTTATTTTCAAGTGTTTCTACATTTATGAGTTATTCAGTTATGGACGCATTATAACAGAATTATATACATATATACATGGCTGTGTGTTTAACAGCTTCATTACTACGAAATACCCGATAACACATGAGAAAACAAACCTTTAGCCATTTCACAACTCCACCCCGACGTACAGCAACCTTTTTAAATCCAGACTGAAATTTTTTGAAAAAAATATAGGTACAAACAGAAAGTTACAAGGTGAAAATTGCGAGTGACCGATTTATTCCCTAAATGATTCGTCAAAAAAAAAAACAGAAAATTCTGGACTGAGTGCTGGGGTTTATTCATGTTTTAAGAAACAGTAACATGGAAGAAACAAATTAAATCGCAAATGCAACAGCTGCTCTTTCGTTAAAAAGCTCATATAAAGTTAGGAAGTTTTTGGTGAAAAACGGACACTTCACTATTCCAAAGTGAGGATTTTTCTGCGTAGTACCCAAAACGAGATGATGGATAAAATTAGCAGGGTAAAACATGTAAATCTCATGTTCGTTTCACAGCTTCCTGCAGCAGTGTCAGAATGAGCTGCCGATGACCTTCGGACTGAATCCAGTGCATAAATTCCTCGACGGTTACTGCGCCAACAAGTTGCTGGATTTTATGACCAAGTGACGATTTCTCACTTTGCGAGAGCGACTGCACTGCCAGCCAAAGATTCTGCAACATACGCAACTATTTCGTGTGACCAGTGTAACTCGTTGCCTACCATCCTCCCTTCACGAAAAAATGAGATTACAGATATTATGTCAATAAAGTTCGTGTAATGGCAAATGATACAAGTAAACACCCAATGTTGCTCGCGTAGTGCTCGAGTAACGCACACTTCCCAACGGTGCTCGCCCACTTATACAAGTAACGACCGTTTCTGTGCGCAGTACTTGATCATTTGTCGTAAACTGCTAGTACTGGTGCGCCACTGTCACAGTGAGTTCAAGTAACGCCAAGAAGATTTTCGTGTAACATAGCCCGATCTTTCGTGTAACCGTTGGGCAGTGTGGGGCGGGACTAGAGTTTCCGCGGACCTTACCAGGCATTTTCAGTCATTCAGACTGTATCAGATATTTTGGGAACTAAAGCAAGGAAAGAAATGTGATGCTGTTCTTTTTCAAACGCTCTTTTTTCTTGCTCAACCGATGCAGAATGACCGGAACAAATAGTTGGCGAATTTCGAAGATGCGCTTTACACTTATATTGGGCATAACGCCCTTTTGCTGCGTATCTGGAGCCACGTATATAACAAAAGAAAGGGATAAAATTAATGAAGCAAATATAATGACGAAAGATTACGCAGTATGGATCAGTTCTGATGTAGCCCACAGCGCCACCGACGATAGTGCCCAGCAATCCACCGGTCGGGCCTGCGATCAATCCGCCAAGCACTGCGCCACCAGCTGCATATCCCGCTTGTCGCGCTATTCCGATCGTTGTACTTCGTAATTCACTGGTTTCTGACATAACATCCAAAACACGGTGCAAGTATACCACCGAAGCCATTTTTTACTGCAATACGCTGTAAACTCGACTACTCACTGCGTTTCTGCGATTCCGAAAAAAACTTTCAGATCACTGATGCGCACGCAGCACTGCATACTCAAAACCCATTACACTCGCCACTATCCGTTCTTGCGCAAATCCTGAAGCAGTCAAGTCGTTTACAATACGAATGGTTGCTGCGTACAGATACACATCAGCATTCATGCTAATAATGCATTGCGCTTTCTTGGCAATTACGAAAACTCGGCTCGGCTCCGGTGTTGATCTGTTGAGCTTGGGCCATCCATCGCTTTGTCCTAACATCTCTGCCAACACTATTTCGCGGCGCCGCTCGCTGGAACTTTGCCAGATGTGGGTAGCGTTGCACAATGCCTGGCGGTTGGATCGTGTGGCCGAGGTAGGGGAGGGGAGGGGGAAAGGGGGGAAGGTGGTGGATGGGGGAATTGGACTTAGTTTGGG